CCCGCCCCGGGGGTGATTATTCACTTTCCTTTCTTTTGTCTTTTTTTGGAGAGGTTTTTGCTATAGGGCATGTGTGCTGGCCAGAAAGAGAGACAGAGAGACAGAAAGCGAGAAATCACCCCCCAGGGGAGATGGCCACCCCGCAATCCCTTCTCCTCCATTCTCCTCTCGGGATCTTGGGCACGCACACACATCCGGCAGGAGTTTAAGCCAACGGGTCCGGGACTTCAGCTGTGGTCGACTACACCGGAGTCCAGCGACATAGCCATTACGCCATCTGCTGTTCCCCTGGTGACTTCTCTTACTGCTGTGCCCAGTCATAGCTCCGGGCTTCACCTCCCTTCTCTCCTGCATTAGGATCCTACCTTATTTGTGGCTAGGTATAATCTTTCTTTATTGACTCGTAAGGTACATATAATACATCTCCAGTCCCTGAATGTGTAGTTCTTCCAGCTTTTACGACCATGTGCACCCATGGACGCATTCCCTCATGTCCTCAAACCTGTTGGGTTCCCCCGCTCCCGCTGGCCCAGACGGGCAGTGGCAGGCTGGTAAATGTCTAACCGCCACCTTCTCAACGGTGGGAGGGAGAACGGAGGGGCACTGAGCCGTAGCTGCGTCCATGTCCGTGGTGTAAATCACCCCTCCAAGGCCGGCTCCTGGCTGCCACGAAGTTGGGAAGAGCAGAATGGAAGTTCTGGGGCCAGCAGGCGGTGTGGTGCTTAAGAAGGTGGACTTCGCCATGGCTGACCTCAGTTTAAGCCCTGGGCCTGGTAGCTTGCTTTCTCACTTTCCTTCTCTCTCTCTGGTCAAATTTTTAAAAATAATGATAAAATGAAATAGGGACCAGCAGATGGCATAATGGCTATGTCGCTGGACTCCCATGAAGTCAACCACAGTTCGAGTCCTGGACCCGGTGGCTTAAACTCACACTGGGCGAGTGTGCGTGTGTGCCCAAGATCCCGAGAGAATGGAGGAGAAGGGATTGCGGCGTGGCCATCCCCTCTGGGGGGTGATTTCTTGCTTTCTGTCTCTCTGTCTGTCTGGTGAGCGCACATGCCCTATAGCAAAACCTCTCCAAAAGAATAATAATAATAATAAATAAATAAAAATAAAATGAAACAAATCTTTTTTAAAAAGAACACTAAAATAATAATAATAAATAAAATTAACTAAAAATAATTGTTAAACACACACACACACACACACACACACACACACAAAGAACAGAACTCTCCTCCCGGGTTCTGATTTCCGTACCCAATGAGTAATTCGTGTCTATTCAAGCGCTTCATCTAGGGTTGGCCCTCGGCCTCATGGCTAAGGGGGCCGGGTCTCACGTGGCCGACAGCACTGGAATCCTGGCTGCCCCAGGCACACGTGTGTGCCCCAGACACCCACAGGATGGAGAAAGGGAGAAGGAACCGTACCTCCCTGGGGGTGCTTTCTCCCCCACTCTCTCTGTGTCTCTTCGGCGACCGTTCGTGCACTCTGGCAAGATTAAAACACACAGGCTAGCAGGTGGCATAGTAGGTGAGGTGCTGCACTCCCACGTGGCTGACCACGGTTCGAGTCTTGGACCTGGCAACTTGCTCTCTCTCTCTCTCTGGTGAACACCTGCACCCTATAGCCAATTTTAAATAATAATAAAAATAATTAATAAAATGAAATAAACCATCCTGTAAGAACACACACACACAGGGCCAGCAGGTGGCATGGTTGCTGGGGCTCTGGACTCCCACATGGCCAACCACGGGGCGAGTCCCGGACCTGGTGGCTTGTTTTCTCAATTTCTCTTTCTCTCTGGTGAGCTCACATGCCCTATAGAAAATGAAAATAATAGGGACCAGTAGCAGTTAGTGTGGCAGTTAAGGCGCTGGAATTCCCACATGGCCAACCACAATTCAGGCCCTGGACCGGTAGCTTGCTTTCTCACTCTCTGCCCCAACCCCCAGTTTTTCTCTGGCACAACTCATGTGAAAAAAATTAAATAAATTAAATAAATAAATAAATATTATTTTTAAAAAGAAAATTAATGATGATAATAAATCAAATTAAATAATTATTTGTTCTCGTTTTTTGGAGAAGTTTTTTGTTATAGGGCGTGTGCACTTGCCAGAAAGACAGAGAGACAGAAAGCAAGAAATTACCCCCCAGGAGGGATAACCACGCCGCAATCCCTTCCCCTCCATTCTCCTCTCGGGATCTTGGGTATGCACGCACACGCGCCCGGCGTGAGTTTAAGCCAACGGGTCTGGGACTTGAACTGTGGTCAACTACATGGGAGTCCAGCAATGCAGCCATTACGCCAACTGCTGCCCCCTGGAATAATTCTTTAAAATGCACACGCGTGAGCTGTTGCTGGGGGGACTGCAGTGCAGGCTCACGCCCGTGCCCCATCTCAGAACCACTCTGCCCAGGGTTCCCACTTATCAGAGGCCTGGCAAAATAAACGTCTACAGCTTCCTCGATAGGCCGCCCGGTGACTTACCCAGGTCGGACGGGCTGATACGCCTATCATGGGCCCCACTGTCGCTATCTGGAAACGCCCGGCCAGCTTTATCGCACTCACCTGTGGGTGGGTTAACTGAAAGAGCCACTGACCTGCCCCCCCCCCGAAGGCGCCCCAGCCCTGTCCCTGCCACCCTGTTCCGAGCCGCGGGGAGCGCTCTGGGCACAGACAGAAGCCGTGTGCAGGCCTGTTCTCAGCGGCAGAAACGTGGGAACTGCACCAAGGTCCGGGCTCCGGACAGAGGGACGCAGCCAGGGCAGCCCCTGCGCAGAAAAGGCAGCGGGCAGCTTGGAGGGGCAGCACTGGGCCACATCTTAGAAGCACGCAGTGATGCCACCCCTCCTGGGGGTGATTTGTCACTGTCTCTGCCTCTCTCTCTGACAAGAGCATCTACCCAGCAGCAAAAACCTCTCAAAAAAAAAAAGAGAGAGAGAAGAGAAAAACATGCAGGCCACGTGTGCATGCCCAAAATCCCAAGAGGGGACAGAGGAGAAGGGGTGGCAGCGTGGCTGTCCCCTGGGGCATGCCGGGGCAATGCCTGCACCCTCAATGACTGGGGAGGCTGACCCAGAGGAGAACAAGGTGGTCGACCCCGTCTAAGAACAAAAACAGACCGGAAAACTGCGGGCACATGGATGAGCAAGAGAGGGGAGGAGAGGAGGGGCAGAGGGACATGAGGCAGGTTGGTTTCCAATTATTCACTCAGGGCCGTGTTTCTAAAACAATCGTGGTACTTATCTTTATTTATCTATCTATTTATTTTCATTTGACCAGAGAGGGACAGAGAGAGGCAGAGAGAGGCAGAGAACGCGAGAAAGCAAGCTGCCAGGACTGGGACTCCAACCAATGCCCTGTGGGAGTCCAGAGCCCTTAACCACCAGGGCTAGCCAGCCCCTATTATGACAATTTTTAAAATTCAATTTCTTTTTTACATTCAATTTATTAGGACAAGTAGGACAATTTTTTTGGGGGGGGGAGAGGTTTTTGCAATAGGGCACGTGCGCTCGCCAGACAGACAGAGAGAGACAGAGAGATAGAAAGCGAGAAATCACTCTCTAGGGGGGATGGCCATGCCACAATCCCTTCTCCTCCATTCTCCTCTCGGGATCTTGGGCACGCACGCACACGCGCCCAACATGAGTTTAAGCCACTGGGCCCGGGACTCAAACCGCGGTCGACTATGTGGGAGTCCAGCGACATAGCCATTACGCTAACTGCTGGTCCCACTAGGACAATTTTTAAGCTTCTTTATTCTGTGAGCGAGAGAGACAGCACCCACCACAGGTCCTGGTGCCGTGGCCCACGCCCAGCCTGAGCACACACATGCCCGGTGGTCTTGCGAGGCCGAGCTGTGGACCCTGAGCCTCCCACACGGACCACGCTTGCAGAGCTGTGCATTACAGCGGCCTCTGGCTGGTCCTAGAGCTGTTACTTAGTGGGACCAGCAGTTGGCATAATGGC